AGCAGGAGCAGGGAAGTGATCCTTCCCCTGTACTCTGCGTTGGTGAGGCCACACCTTGAGTATTGTGTTCAGCTCTGGGCCCCTCAGTTCAGGAAGGATATTGAGGTGCTGGAGCAGGTCCAGAGAAGAGCAACGAGGCTGGTGAAGGGACTGGAGCACAAGTCCTATGAGGAGAGGCTGAGGGAGCTGGGGCTGTTTAGCCTGGAGAAGAGAAGGCTTAGAGGTGACCTCATCACTCTCTTCAACTACCTGAAGGGAGGTTATAGCCAGGTGGGGGTTGGTCTCTTCTCCCAGACAACCAATAATAGGACAAGGTGACATGGGCTCAAGCTCTGCCAGGGGAGGTTTAGGTTGGATGTTAGGAAAAAATTCTTCACAGAGAGGGTAATCAGGCATTGGAATGGCCTACCCAGAGAGGTGGTGGATTCACCATCCCTGGAGGTTTTTAAAAAGAGATTGGATGTGACCCTTAGTGCCATGTTATAGTAATTGGAGTTGGATCAGGGGTTGGACTTTATGATCTCGGAGGTCTTTTCCAACCCAATCTATTCTATGATTCTATGATGATTCTATGAAAGGTGAAGACCAGGGATAACATTTCCCCCCTAATACAGGGGAACATTACAGAAGTAAGTCTCTTCTGTGCAAGCACTTGGAACGTATCCTTGTGCATTCTTTCTTTTGAAAGAAGAAGAATTTTTCTTTTTTCTTTTGAAAGAAAGAATTCTTTCTCCTCCAGTGCTTTGGATGGTTCCTGCCCTCCCCATCCTCTCACATGGGAGCTGCTTCTCCTCCTGGTTGCACAGTTGCCCACGTTCCAGTGGAGTCCCCTCACAAGGACCGGCGGGGTGGGGTACACTGAGTCAGAGGAGGGATTAAAGGAACAACACATGATGAGTGCAGCTCACGGGACACAGGCTGGGTGAGCTGCAGGCCACAGCAGTGTCACCTGGCACAATTCCACAAGGTCTGCAAGCCTCCACTGATTTACACCTGGCAGCCAGTTTGACCACTTAGATTGGTATCGCTTATCCCTGTCCCAGAAACTCCCTGCCCCATTGTCAACAGCATTCCCAGAAAATCCTTGAAAACAAGCCCTGCTGCAGCCTGGAGCCTGATTACAGTGCAAGCTGTGCACGCAGCGAGCCACAGCAAGGAGTCTTCTGCCCGGCTGATCTGGCACGAGGCTTGGGGTGACAACACACATCCACCCAGAAAAATTGGTACCTCCAGACTTATTTGTCTGGCATAAGCCAGACAATATGTCTGCAATGTGTCACAAACAAAAGCACCAGGCCCTCAGTCTGAGACACTCACTGCATTAATGTGGCCATACTGGGGCATGGCTAAGCTCACCACAACAGGAAAGGCAGCCCACTTCCCTGAGCACTGGTTTCATGCCACACTGGAGCATTGCTCTCAGACTCCCTCTCTCAAGATGCAAGAACATCACCTCTGTGATGGTGACAATAAGTGAATGTTAGGAAAAAATAAGACGAAGGTAAGAATGTAGGATACTTCCCCCAAGTAACCTTCCAGCTTCCATTTATTTTCAGCTCAAGGGACTTTTATTACCTAACCCTCCGGGAATGTCTTCCATGGTCAACTCCTAGAGTTTTGAACATCCCCAAGTATTTAACATCCAGCACATCACTGCATCACTGGAAAGAACCTTCTCTCCCCTTCCTTAATTTGGCTATGGTTAGTCCCATTTGGTGTCTTGTGTGGCTTTTTGTTTGGTTGGTTTGTTTGTTTGTTTTAGTTTGTTTAGGGTTTTGTTTTTGGTTGGTTGGTTTAGGGTTTTTGTTTGTTTGTTTTTACTGGAAGAGACAGTTAACATTCCAGTCCTATCTCTTTTTCATGTGCCACACAACTTTCTAGGCCTCTCTCGTACCCCCAGCTCATCTCTTTTCCAAGCTGTCCAGTCTCAGCCTATTCCCTTGTTCTTTGTGTGAAAGCCATTCCACTTCTAAACTGGCCATAAGTCATACCTGGCCTTCTCTGAGGGTTTTTTTCCCCAATTCTGCTATCCTGTTTTGGATGCCAAGGGCCTACATCTGTGTTTCATATCAAACAGTTTCATATAGTGTCACAGTAAAAGGCTACAGCTGGTTCTCTATCCCATTTTAAATGTTTTCTAGCATTTTATCTGATTTCTTGACTGCTATGAAGTATCAGGTGACATTAACTTGGATGTTCTTACTGTGCTGCCTGGAACACCACATGCACTTATAAAGGCAAGGAGAGCTGCTGACACACCTATTTGTAACTGCTCATCAGCTGCATTTTAGAAACAACTTCAGATGCTGTGGTCCAACTGTCCTGTTTTCAGAGACATTAACAGAGTCAATCAAAGACCATCTGCCAATTTTGCTCCCTCTGTATTGCTTCTGTCACCTCTGTTTAAATAAAATGCAGGTAACCCAAGTCTAAGACAGCTGGAACAATTCAATCCAAGGTCACCCAAGGAAAGTGCACTCAAGAGTCTCTGGCCTTACAGTGGGCAGCAAACCTGATCCTTTGTGTTCATCTGCAGTACTGTGCACCCTCTAGATGTGCCAACATCTGGACAAAAACTCTGTATGCTAAACTGCAGCTACCATGTGTCATCAACACAAGGAGCCTCTATTTTAGGCTGCCTAAAAACACATGACACACCGATCTGATGGAAGACAGCTGTGAGAACAGCTAAAGCCCTGGGATTCAGTACGTGTGCCCAGAGTGACTGGCTCGAGTGTGCTTCCATTTCCTCACTGCTGCCTTTGTCTGCAACCCTGGTGCCACTCAGCCTGACTCCACAGGTTCGGGGTGACCGACAGGACCCTACCTTCATGGGACATTGATGGGAAAAAGCATCACATCACAGCCTTTGTTTGTTGCCTGTGCTCATGCGGATTTTCAGACTTGAGGACTCCCTACCCAAGAGGCCAACGCTGCATTTCAGGTGTGTTACAGTTTCAGGGTGCAATTCAAAGGCACCCCTTGAGGAGTTTTAGTACCTTAGGTAAAACAGCTCATTCCTCCTCAGCAAAAAAGTCAGCTGCTTCAGCTAACAACCATAAACTCCCAAATATGAGGAGCAAAGATGCACAAATAGGAAGTGCAGTTAACTCCCATGAACATACGAAGTGTTAATAATCTTACAGAGGGAGTACATTGGTAAATACATTTTTACACATAATTTTAAAACAGCCCGAGCGAGCAGCTTTATTTCACCTTTGGCACCAGCATCTTCACAATTTACACGCAGAGTTGCTCTTTTTATACCACTGGAAGCAAGCATCTCATGTATGAAGGATTAATAAGCTATTTCTTTTCCCAGACATCAGACCTGGTTCTGTGTTTCTTAACAGTTGCCCTTGCTCTTGGTGTTTAATCTGCCCTCCTGGATGTTGATTTGAAGAGTCCAAGGACACACATCCAATCAATCCCCATGCTCCAAGACAAATATTTTGTTCAGACCATTTTCTAATTAAAATTCCCTGCTAGAAAGGCTCCTAGACATGGCGCAAACAATAGTTCTCTCAACCCCCTCAAGCTGCTGCCCTTTGAAACAAGGGAGCAAGTCCCTCCTTTTCACACAGAAATCCGCCTGACAGACAATAAGAAGTAACTTTCGGTCAAGCCATCTGGAGCAGCTCATGTTGTACACAGGGCAAAAAGCTGCCTTTGTTTGCAGAGCAGCAGGGGCAAAATAAAAGGTAGTCCTACCCGAAACAGCTGCCAAGCAAGAGGCACGTTACTCTGGGACGTTTTCGTCCACATCAGCAAACTGCGCATCACATGGTTTCAATTATTTTTATCCCAGACAAGGGGAAAAAAAAAAAAAAAAACACCCAACACGCAAGCTGAAGTGACGTAACAGGAAACAGCTGTGATCAAACTCTGAAGGGCAGCCTCCCCGGTGGCAGCAAAAGCTCTGCCATGGGTCCTAGCTGAAGCTGGCCCTGGAATCGTCTTAATTTCAATGCAAATGGGAGTCAGCGGCAGGTTGGAGCTCTCGGGGAAGGATGCGTGCCAGGAATTGTTGGCTGGCAGGGAGCAGGCTCCCGGCAGCTGCCCCTCCGTGGGAGTGAGGCGCATGCTAACCTGAAGTGACCCGCTCTGGTGCTCGCTCTCAGAGGTTACTGCCGTTCACGGCAGCCGAGCTCTCCTGCTCTGATGCAAAAGACGGAAGAGCAGCGAAGGGGAGGGAGGAGGCGGCGGCGGCATTGTTTAGCTTAGATGGTTGTGATTTCTGCTCCAGGGAGAGAATGTTTTTGACTAATAGCAGCACTTCAAAGTCAGAGCCAGCCAAAAAAAACTTGGATAAGTTTCTGGCTCAACACCCCCCCCCCCCCCCCCACACACACACACATTTGGACTTCTGACTCACACTAAGGTACGAAGGGCTTTTTTTCTTGATCCATCGTTTCACCTGCAAAAGCAAATACTTGCAGTCTCGAGAATGTCAATTTGGCTCTGCAAAGCTCTGTTAATGTTTAGTGTTGTGATGTCACTGCACCGACTGCTCCTCAAGACTGGAAAACTATCTCTGCCCCCAAAAAGCTAGTTAGACAAAGAGGCAACAGTAGCCTATAGGTGCTAATTTAGATTAGAACAGCCACAACACCTTTTCCACATGCCGTGCCCTAACCGCACCCAAAAAATAGTAGATACAACCAAGCAGTAACCCTGACATGGCTGGCAACTGAGTGAAAAAAATAAAAAGAGAGAAAAGCTTCCACATGCAACTTGCAAGGCGCTGCTAGATGTACTGCAAGGGCAACAGTTGTGCCACTGCTGAGAAGGCAAAACACTAGAGAAAACATGTGAGATCTTGCTATGGTGTTTGTAATTTGGAGTGCCTAGGGGTTGCAAAGAGCGTGCTGCCTGCACTGTCACAGGCAAAACAGCTGTAGGATGGGCAAAGTTTTCAAAACAAGCCAGGGATTTGACTTAGAGTTGCTCTAAGGACACTCGTGCCTCCGTGCTCCATCGCAGGCTAAGACAGCAACTTCATCGCAGTGGTGATGCATTGTGACACAAAGGTGCTCCTTACCTCTTTAACAAGCTTCCCAACGCTGTCTCTCAAAGTTTCCACAGTTTCTGTCAGATCCCACAAGGACGAATTGAAAGAAAGTTGTGTCTGCAGGAAGACAGAAAAGGAAACTAGAAGTTACTGCAAGGCACAAACATTATTAGACTCTTGTAAACACCCATGTATAGAGTAGTAATGACTGTTTACACAGCAACTTGCTTGATGGGGAAGGCAGAGCTGGCTTTCTATGCAACCTTGAACTTAAAATACCCTGGGCATCTGCACCCTGCAATGTGATAGGATCACTCCTCTCCCTCCTCATGGGTTTAGGTACAGGTGCCATAACAAGAACCATACCAACAAAGTGTTACATGCATTCACACACACTCAACAGTGCAAAGGATGACTTGCATTCCAGGTCACAAAGCAAGCACAGCCTACAGGACAGCACGCGGACAGACCTGAAATCCTGCACACCAGGGCTATGAAAGGGGTGCAAAGTCAGTACAACGGAGGACACGGTCAATATGATTTGGTAGGCACAGGTTTTCAGTGAGACTACACAGATACCAGCTCAGATACAAAAAAACTCCCTACTGCAGTGTATATCATCACCACTCAAGTCCCCCCATCAGGCCTTGATGTTCTTTATCTAAGCCAGTGGCGTATTTTTAAAACAACCAGCTTCCAGGAAACAGCTGACATGCATCATCACCAAGAGAGCAAGACTGACAGGTTTCAGGAACTGGAAGGCACAGCTTTCAGCTTTATTTAATCTAGCAGGGAGCTACACTGAAGACAACTCCTTTTTTCCACTTGCTCTACATGTAACTAAACGGGCCTGGATTTTGGTTTGTGGGGTTCTTTTGCCCTTCTGTTCACATATCTGTATTATCATGAATGGAAACATTCGGACACAATGTTTATTTCAAGAGAATAATGATTAAAATAATTTCCTAAGATTTCACATTAGTAGCTACGTATTGTGGCATTTAAAAGCATACTGAAGTTACAATACTATGACACACTGAACAGCCAAGGCCCTTGACTCTAGCACACAACTTTTGAGCTGAGCCTTTTCCTTTTCACATCTTTCCCGGAATAATTCCTGGAAACAAAGCCTAGAGGCTTTCACTTATTCTAATTAATCTGCTGAAGGCTGTTAAGACCTGGTCAGCATCAGCTGGTGTACATGGGCACTGATCTGCTGATCTGCTGGGACATTTAAGACTTAGAAAATTTTTCTGAGTGCACAGTTAGTGTTCACTCCAAAACCAGTTGCAAAGTCAGGGAGGGTCTCTCGAACCTCTGTGGATTTCCACTGAACACAGTCCTTAAAGTTTGGATAAATAAAACCACATCATTAGGGGTAGAAGAAAAACAATTCAAAATCCCCACAGGCTTAGACCTTCAAGACACATTTAAAAGAAATTTAGTTAGACACCAAAGCTACATATCCGCTCTACCACTTTAGCAATGATGTAGAAGGTCCAAGGTTCCTGCATAACAGTAGATGTTTGTTCAGCTCCATATACCTCAATCTACACAGCTTTGTGTTGTTCACTGCATTCAGAGGTGATTCAGGAACAGCATGGATGAGGAAGAGTTTTCTGATGACACTAATTGGTTCAGAACGCTGAAAAGTCAAAATCCAATTGCAAAGGATTAGTGAACAACCTCATGCTGACACACTGTTACGAAGTGCCAAACATAATTCAGCACTGCCAAGCAACGTACACAGGGAGAAGACCTTAAGATACGCTTGTATGACTCTGAACGGGCTAGTGCCACTCAGAAAGGGAGCTCTTAGAATTACAGTGATAAAACAGATCAACATCATCACAAATCCACATTGCCATCCTGGTTCTCGAGAAACTATGTGCAATTTTAGGTTCTTCATCTCTGAAGGAACAAAGGCCACAAGTATGATTCGAGGCAAGAATGGGTTTTTTTCGGAAGAACAATAGACCACAGTTCTTCCAGTGGGATCTGGAAGGACAAACACAGGTTATGACAGAGGTCTGTAGAATTACAAGTGGGATGGAGAATGGAAACTGGGGATGATTGTTCACTGTGCCTCACATTACAGGACTGGAGGACTTCCAGTGAAATGACCAGTTAAAAACAAAACCAAAAGGAGCTCCAGCATACGTAACTTAGTCAAAATGGAAAAAAATCAGTACCTATTATGCTATGCTGAGGGTGTTGTGAGTTTGAGAAAGGCTTAGAAGAACTCATTAAACATAAAAATCCTACCAAATGCTATTAAACACTAAGATCCCAGCAGAGAAAGTCTGAGTTGCAAGCTATGGAAGAACAGGATGTTACATTGAGGAAATGTTATTACATATTTGCCCCATGGCTGCATTCTGTCACAAGCCTCCATTAAGAGCTATCACTTGATGACACTGAGCTTAACAAGGCTTTGTCCTGACTCAGTATGTCAGTCTTAGGAGATTCAAGGAGCTTGCAAACCTTACCCTGAAACACGAGGAGTAACCACTTATCCTTTCATACCACAGCACCCTGACCCTTCTTCCCTAACAAATTCACATCACTTCAAGCTCATTTCTCACCATAACTTGCAGTGGTATCACTGATATGGAGTAAATTTTATTTTCTTTACCACCTCTTGCACTCAGGAAGCCTCTCACAAGTCATCTCCAGAGACAATACCAAAAATCAGTCACAAGGGCCAGTCTTCTTTGAACAGATGAGAGCATCATTAATTTCCCTGCAATACAAAGCTTTGTAGGGGCTCGTTAAGTAGATCACTCCACAGATAAGAGAACTCTAGATTCAGGGTGGCTTCAGTAAGATTGGTCCTACTGTCAGACTGTCTCTAGCAGGTGTCTGCACTACATCCTGGGGCTGAGTGGCAATGACTCCTTTTCTGGTCAAGCGCTGCAAAAACATCACCTGTCCATTCTAAGCACGCTGTGGAAAGACAAGGCTCTAGCAGGTTTTGAGCACAGCTGCCCTGTATTATTACTGTGTTAGAGGCTAGCAAGTCACCAGACTTGTCTTCTGGAGCAGCCAGCATCATAATACTCTTGAGGCACATGGTGCACTGAGGGGACTCTGTGTGCTCATTTATGCATACTGCAAGATTTAAAATAATGGCAAATACTTAAGATGACTGGAGTTGACTGCACAATCAAGACAAGCCTTGAGTAAATCCACCTGAGACTTACTGGGGATGGAAAAATCCAGTTCTTTAACATGCATGAGAATGCATGTGTTTAAAGTGCTGAAAAGTCATAACAAAATTCTGCCAAAATTCAGTCTGCATCTTACAGCTAACTTGTTTCTGCTTAATAAAGACCACTCTGCCACATTTGCTTTGAAACAGTAATTGTATCTCCATACTGATCTCAGCAGAAACTTTTTACTGGCCTCTGCAGAAAAATCATGTGCTTTCAGCTTCTGCTTTTGTTTCCTGGAAGTCTCAAACTAACGCTGTTTAAAAGGATGATATTGTGCTTGACTGAAAAATGCTCTCAAAAGAGCAAGGAAAGCCACAAGTTCAGTTGCAGCATGCACTAAGAGACCTTTTCTAAAAGCCATTTATTATCTAACACTTAGTTCATGCTAACCATTTGACAAAATACCACCCATATTACAAAGGGAGAAAAAACAATTGGAGTTTCTCATGCTCACCCACACTCCTTCAAGGACCATGACACTACACAACCCACAACATATTTATGGCTTATTACAGATCCATACCACTGGAAGTGAGTGTGGCAAAGCCCTTTCTTAGGCAGCGCTGCGGAGATGAAACCCTACAGGAGGAATCTGAATTGCCCTTTAACCTTCCCCTCAAGTCATATTCTAAACTGGGGAGAATTTGCAGAGGGAAATCTAAACAGGTATTTCTATGATACAAGACAGTCAGAGGTGTCCCACTGGACTGTGCTGTGATGGGTGGGGACTTACTGCCATTGCTCCTGATAACCTTTCCCAAACCGTGTAGTTCTTCCATGGGACAACTGCTGGCCTACCACTGGGAGAGAGATGGAAAGGAAATTTGGAGTGCTTGCAACCTTACTGCTTCACTGTTGTTCTCAAACCTGCTTCTCCAGCCTCAGTACCACTCACTATACCCAGTGCACAAGGCAAACCTCAAAAAGAGAAGATGTGTCCTCATCTTGTACAACATGTCCCTTGTCCCATAGCACTTGTTGCTGGTCAAAAGGCTTCAGAGAATTAATGCAGATTTAAGACATGGGTCCTGGAAAAAGGAATTTGACTTTTTGAAACACTTGCTGCTTCCAGTGGAGCGAACACCCAGAGAAGAAGGAAAGCTGACCCTCTGCCTTGCTGCTCTGTGATCACTTCCAGATATTTTGCTGGGTTTTGACCTAAACAGCTGGCCTCAAATAGGTTCTTACATTAAAAAAAAATAAAGGAGACACCCTTTACCCTCCCTACTATTCCTCTATGTGCTTGGCTCTATTTTCTCATCCTGCAGAGAAGCTTAAATTGAAGTAATACAAAGAATCAGTGACAGAGATAGAAATTCTAGTAGCAAATTTTAATTAGAAGTTCTTCTTTGTCTTAACTGTACCACTGCATTTGGGGCAACACTCAAGGTGTTCTGGATAGAACTGATGAGCAGGTATATATAGTGTTTATTTTTTGCCACCCCCCCCTTTTTTTTTTTTTAAAGAGTCCTTAACAGTGCTGTGACATTTACAGCTCAAGCATTTCACCCAGCAAGCACCTTTTTTTTTAAATCCATGATCCATCCATAATTTGTTAATAATTACTGGAGTAATTAATTTTTAAGAGTTACCTAGAACACCTGTAGTTCTTCTCAGAGACTTCAGATGCACACAAGCTTCAAGCCAGCAGAAGCAAGTGTCATCATCAGGGTCACAGCCCACACCCACACTCCCTTATCGCTGGGCTCTCAATATTGCACCCTCCTCTTCATGTTTCAGCACAAATGTTTGTGTAAGCGCTCAGTCAGGTGCCTCCTGGGTCAATTCCGTGATGTAATTTACTGCATTATCTTGCAGACGGAATAACAAGCAGGAATGCACAGGGACAGAAACAACGAGGTGGATGCCAGTTGGGAGTCTTGAGGATTAAGAGAGCTCAAGGAACCACAGCCACTTTGCTGCGCAGGTATCCGAGGGGCTCCAACTCCTGGTTTACTATTCCAGCCCTTGGTGTTGAATTTACACAGTTCCTGCGCACAGCTGCAAGTCCTTGTATTATCCTACTTCTACTAAGATGTTGCCACTCCATAAGTCACGAAATGGTGCAAGCCGTGAAGCCCAAGTCCCACTACACAAGCTAAAAACCTGCCTCCAAATTGCTGTTGTACCTGCATTTGACTTGGCTCTTACTTTATTTACTGAAATGACTCGCTGTGAAGTACATCAAAGAGATTAAGCAAAAAAAAAAAAAAAAAAAGAAAAAACTGAAAATTAATCTCTGGGCAAATTGTTGTCACTGGTTTACAGACTCTGTAGTAGATATGGTAAAGGCTATCTTCAGTGTCCATGTCCAAGACGTGACACACAGTGCTTTCAATAAGCTGTGTCAAAAGCCTCCTTTGTTCATGAGCAGAAAGTTCTCTCTTTGTTCAAAGATGTTACTGCAGGTCAGGGCACTTTTTTGCCTTTGAATACACAAGTTTCAAACGTGTTGGTCGCGATCCTAAAGTTAATTTATTCACTTTGCCTGGTCACACTGAAGCCAGTTCATTTTTATTTCACTCACTGATGCATTACAACACTTCAACTAGATGGTATGCTGTGACATTTTTCTAAGGAAAACTGTGGGCCTCTACCAGACAGTAATACACAGCAGGTTTAGAACTGCTGGCCTCTGTACTCCAGCTTTTTTTTCCCTTTGAAGACAAGGTAACAAGCCAGCTTCTCAGAAGTCCCCCACAATTGCACATAATGTCTTAAATCTATATGGTTGTTGCCAAGTGGCACAGAGAGGCTTACGATGGCTTTCTCTCACCAACAACCAACACAGACCTGATGGCAGACACACACAGTACCCACTTCTGCCAGCAAACCTGCAGGAACTCCCACAAATGAGAGGAAAGCAAGACTGAGTCTCCACAGGGCCCAGAAGGCCAACACCGAATGGTACAACCACTGGCTATTTTCATCCTCTTCAGACCCCAAAATTCTAACATCTCTGAATGGTTGAAAGCGAAGTGTGTACAGATGCGCACATACACATGTGACTGAAGACAAGAAACTGCTTACAGCCATTCCTCTCCAAACAGCCCACCCCTGTTATGGGGACAAGTTTAATGCTGTTACCTCATCTTTTAATGCTTATGATTATCTTATTCTTCCAGCAGGAAAGAAAAAAAAAATGCAGATGGAGGGCACATGGAAAACAGAAGATGAGCTGTGGAGAGAAGTCACTGACCACTACATGCTGCACAGAAGACTCATATGATTCCAGTACTCAATAATGACCCTCTTTGACCGGGGACAAAGCCAAACAAGGGGTACGTGACTTTCAGTCCTGAAAGGCTCATCAAATCTGAAAACTCACACAGCCAAAGTGTTTATTTCTTCCACAGCAGACAACAGAATGTTTGTTTTAGTGGGTAACAGAGTGGGTTCTGTGGTCCCTTCTTCACTCTGTTATTTCCAGCACTGAATTCCTCAAACTTCTGTATTTTCACAGATATTGTGGACCTGTAGCACTACATCACTAGATTTTCCTTGATCAAGTCTGCTCCAGCCTCAAATTACCCTGTAAATAGTGTATTTTCTTGAAGTTCAACGAGTTCTTGATCCAAAACCCATTCAGCTGGTCAACTTTTGAAACAGGACTTTAAAACCTGATTCTACTTTGTATGAATTAAACCTGTTTAAAGGTTGTGGCTTATCAGTGGCTGGAAACTTCTGCACTCAGTGGTCTCACTCATGCTAAGGGCAGAGGGGGGTGGTTTTAGCAGTAAGCACAAGATGGTCTAATATCCAGGCTCATTCCAGCCAAGATACAACATCTGACTAAAACACAGGGACAACCAAGAGCCTGTTTGTTACTATGCAGCATAAACACTTTCCTCTTGACAAACTGAACTGCAGACCACACACATTTACGCTCCACAAGTAGCAGACTGCAACAGGAAGGGTAAGAATGACAGGAAGCAGCAATGTTCTTCACACTCCAGTAATAAAGACAACCTTTCTTCTTTCTTACTGCCAAGGAGCAGTTCACTCTGGAAACACAGTAATGAGTTCCTAGATGGAAAGCCCTGGAAAATGTCACTGTGTCAATGACAGACTCGCATGGGTAGGACCAGTGAACTCACCTGAAGGGGCTTCAAAGGATTCAGGTTGGCACGGAAGGCTTGCTCAGCTGCATGGAGTTTTTCCTTTGACAAGGTGCAAATTAAGGCTTCAGCGTCCATGGCCACCGTCTGATTTTGGATTTTAAGGTATTCAGATGAAGTTGAGTTATTGCAGAGATCCCGCAATCGCATTCGATAACCAGACACTATGACCTAGAAAAGTGGGGAAGGCATGTAAGTCTCCCTTCATCTAAGACCCCACGCAAAAAACTGGTTATTGCCTAGGCAAAAGAAACCATTCATAACATTTCCAGATAGAGGTAAGAGGGCATTCTTCTCTACAGGTTGAGCAGCCCTGACTCAGACACAACTCAGTTCCAAGAAAAACGTTTCCCCACTGAAGAACATGGGACAGAAGTCCTGGGGGAGGGAGGTCTCTTCACTTCTCCACAAACATGCACAAAGCAGCAGTGATCCTGTCCTTCCACAGCAGCCATTTCCTCCAACCAAGGGTACATGCATTGCCTAACCTTCAGTCTTCTGGGAACTGAGCCACAGAGGCAAAAACAAGGGCTGTGACTAGAAACAAGTCTGACAAATGTATGTGAAGGGCAAAAGACCTGTGTCCCAATCTCCTCAGACATATCTGCCAGCCACGTTTTCTGTCCAGTTCTGGATCAGAACCATCTTCTCCCTTAGCTTTGAAATATCTCTTCGCTAACTGCTGAGACAAACCTTTTGCAGTGTTTTTGAGGAGATAACTTTTTTTCATTGATATGTTATCTCACTGGCTACAACAGACAAGATAAGATCCCAGAGTCTTCCTTCACAGGCATATTTTACTCAAGGTAATGGTTTGCTTGTCAATAATGTTTCTTAACCCACAAGTAACCACCTTATTAACGAAAGAAATCAATAAAAACCCTGTGTTATCATCAGACCCTGATAGCCTAGGTTCTTTTAATCAGGTTAGTTACAGAATTTAGGCTTGCTGAACAACAAGCAGATCCATGTCAAAAAAGCTGCACTCTTTATAAAAGTGAAAGAAAAGGAAAACGCAGAATCAACCATTGGCAAGAATTTTTTGTTTGCCATGGAGCTAGACAGAAGGAACAATTTTATTGCAAAGGCACAGGTAACAATAGCTTTAGACTTCATTTCTTCTTTCTATTCTTTTAAAATACCTGGCATGCATTGCCCAATTTCCAGTAACAACTCAGGAGGATTGATCTACATCCCAGAAGAGTTACCAGCTCTTGAACCATGCTGGTAAGTCTGAAAAATTTCTCATCTTTCAAAAGCAAAGGGGTATCAATCATGTGGGTAAAAAGCACATTATGTTCAGAAAATAAGCAAATGCAACACTTGTGCAAACATTAAACTCTAGTCCATGTCCATATGCCAAAAATAGGATATTTCAGTGCTGCACACTCAGCTGAGTAAATCAGCTCTCTCTCAAAAAAGCTGGACTTTTGAAAAAATTTTGGGTGGGATTTTTTTGTTTGGTGTGGGTTTTTGTTTGTTTGGTTTTGTTGTTGTGGTTTGGGTTTTTATGGGTTTTTTTATTGTTTGTTGGGTTTGTTTGTTTGTTTTTTGTTTTGTTTGGTGTGTGGGTTTTTTCGGTGTTGTGTTTTTGTTTTTGTTTTTGCCAGCAGAGATACTACTACCAGTTTATAGCCCTGCTAAAAAGGAGATATTCATGGGGCATGGAAATAACACTCCAGAGACCTGGGATTAGTCTAAACCAGCTTCCCTGCATGGACATAGAGAAAACCAGTGTCTCCTAGTGCCTCAGCATTCACCCACAAAAACTGAAGGTGACCAACCTTTCCGCCATCCTGAGTATGCCCAACTTTTTCATTTAGATTTTAAACTCTTTTGGAGAGAAGCTGCCCCTTCCAAATGCTGAGGTTCACAGCATAAGAACTTAAAGCTAAGGCTCTGCCTATCCACCCCTAACTAAAACAGTCACGCTAAGCCAGCCAGTTCTCTAACCATCTGCAGTCACCTGAACTCATGGCATCTTCAACAGGCAAAAATACATTCTAAGTGACAGACTAAGTCCCCTAAGGACTCTCAAAATGCCAGGCTCATGTTTGAGAGTAGTCACAGGTCATTGTTTTGTGTCCACAGGTCACATCATTGTCTCCTGGGACTGTCCCTGCTTCATGAAACAGGGAGATTTGCTCCAAGCAGAGTATGCGCTGGCCGTTGTTATTTACTCCTCACTGCTACTCAATGCATCATGCTGCAGCCCTGGCACAGGACCTCACTGTGCCTCCAACTTTTTAGAAGGACAACAGGACCTACTCCTGCCTCCAAGCCACCACGTAAGAGCTGTCTGGCCACACCTGGACAGCAGCAGCATGGTTGGACAGCTGCCTGCCCACTGCTGATCCTTCCAAATCCCACACCCTTCTGAGCAAACCTGCCACTACTGGAGAAACACAATGCTGAGAAACACAATGTCTGCCCCAGGAAGCAACATGCCCATTTGATGGCTTTTATCTGTCTGAACTTATTTCAGTATGCTGGACACACAGCCCTGCCTGGCATGTTGGAGCACTGTCACTGCAGTAACACCAGCGAACAGTCCCATCTGCTTGGTGACTTCAGTTCCTTACTTGCTCGCATATCATAACTTCCTGCCTTGCTGAACAACCCCAGGACACAAACAGACCACAGAAGGCAGCTGTATTTCCTGTGAGAGGTTTGCATACTCTGCATGGGCCCTTCTACATGACCCACCCCTACAGAGACCTAATAACTACTGCCTCTTAATACTGGAGTCAGCTCAGCAGCGAGGTCAGATCTCCAACCCAGACCTCCTGCAAAATCAAAGGGGTCCATTTTGTGAGTCAGATAAAGTCATTCTGGGGGAGGAAAGAGCTCTACATCTCTAGCTGCCACCTGTGTCAGAAGAGTGCTCAAGGAAAATCTGATGGGCCACTGCTCTGCACCTTACTGTCCTCTTGCCCTGCTAGCTCTTCCTGCCATCGCTGAGCACAAAGCACTGTTAAGACTTAATAGCCTCCTCACTCCCAGTGCCCCAGCAGAGAGAGCTCAAAAACTACATAAACAAGAACACAGCTTAAACCACACAAGGAAGAACTAGCTGACCGATCACCCCCATACTGCCCTTCATACACATTATATAGATAAAAGCTAAGCTTTTTTTCTCCTTCCATTGGCTTTGCCCTATACAACTGTTACAGCATGGCAGTCACACAAATGTCAGAGCTGGCTTTTTTGCATGTTTTAAAATCTGCCTCTCCACCAGCTTAGGAAGAATAACCATGTTGGTACTGCTGAAGTCTTCTATTTATCTTTCCAGAACCGTCTGTAGCATGATTCTGTCTTAATCTACCTTGAATTTCAGGCAAATTAGTTTCAAATAAAACAAAACTTGCACCCTAAATTGGGTAAGAAATTTTTTTCCACTTAAATTTTTTTAGTAGAACATATCCTGAACTTACAGGATTAACTATCAAACTGCACTAAAACAGATGGCTTGGTAGAATTTACTAAAGAACAGGATAACTTGTGCAAAGAGGGACAGCATCTGCAACTACATGAAAACAAAAACTAAAAGGACGGTTAATCCATCCCACTTCAATGAAGAGATCTGAAATGGACTTGGGAAGCAGAATGGTTTTCGTTTTCCTTTTGCATGCCATCTTTTGCACTGCCTCAAGAGAACCATGGGTCTTTCTTTGAAGTGTCTTCTGACTTCTGTATTAGAAAGGATGCTGGTGGACTGCTCCATCAAGCCTAGCAAAAAACATGTTATGAAGCTGACAGTGGGACACAGCCATCACAAGACAGGGGCCCCAGCCCACCGTCACCACTGGCTGTATTTATGGATTCATGGGAACGCTCAGGAGTTTCATTTGACATCAGGACTCCTGTAGTACATAATATACAATGAGTTTGTCTTGAAGAGCTGGCCACAAACCTAAAATGGTGCCTCCTTCTGCTGCACAGGACTGTAAGGCAGAACAACACATACAAACCCTGCTCCAGTCCAAGCTGAGTGACTGAACACTAAGATCAGCACAAGCAACCTCATTAATGTTTTATTTACACTGAAAAAAAAAAAAAAAAAGGAGAGAAGAAATTCAGTTTAGCCTGAAATCTTAGTCAGATCAAAACATTTGCCCATGTGTTCCCAGTGTCCTTTTACAGCTTACAATCAAATAAGACAGTAAATTGAGGGCAGAAGGGAAGAGAGAAGCAGGGGAATACATTTTCCTCTGTGTTTGTACAACATCTAGCTCAGAGGGGTTCTGCACTGTGGATCTTGGCCCTGTGGCTAAACAAACAATAGACAAGCATTGTGTTAGTGATTGAAAGTGCTCTTTACCTGCTGGAGATTGACCCTTGCATTCAGTAACTCCTCTACTGCAGATGATGGCATGGACACATTATGGTGGAGGAAGTCTGAGAGCGTCTCATTGTCAACCAGGAAATCCCGAAGTTTCAAGTCTGGAAAGCAACAAAACAAGCAAAGTTCTGGTCATGGCAAAGCCAAAAGGAAAAACTCACGTGAGAGCTCCGAACAGGAAGAGCAGAGCTGACAAATGGAGGATAGGGAATTACACAAACCATGGCACAAAGGGAAAAGAGGAGCTGCTAGCAAAGTGTTCTGAAGCTTCAGAAGCATCAATCCATGATGTCTTGACCTCAATCTCCTTCCCCCCACCCCCATCAGTAAAAAAAAACCCACCAAAAACCAAAACTTAAAAAAAAAAACCAAAACAAACCTTTAAAAACATCTCCTTTTAACATAATTAGTTCAGCTCAATTTGCACATATGTACACAGAAGTAAGATACATCAAGCTTCTCCCCTGATCTGGGCTGAAACCTGGCATTAGCTCTTAATCCCTGTGTTGTTACAGAACATGAGACTGAGCTGGCGCATGGACCACCAAGGGATTTACTAGCCTGCAGTCAATTATGGTTATAGTAAATGCACTCCACCACAAATTTCAAGGTCTGACATATGGAGACACAGATATGACATAGAATTGCACAAAGATCTAGAAAACAATCTTAACTACTTGGAATTAAAAAACATTTGCTGGATTTTTTCCATTTTTTTCTCCCAAAAGCTTCACCCTCTCGAGCCATTGGCGTTCCACCTCCTGGCTTTAAAACAAATTTGTATCTTCATCACAGCAGAGGGGGACCATATGGAAATTGTAATCCAAGCACACTACTGAAGTCACAAACCTGGATCTTAAGAAACTGACCCTCACACTGTTTTGGGCTCTTTTCTTGTGGTTAGGGTTTGGTTGTTTTTTTTTCCAGTTGGGGGGAGGGGGGGAGTAGTTATGTGGCTTTGTTTGGTTGGGGGTGGGTGGGGTGAGTTTTGGTGGGGATTTTTTTGTGGGTTTTTTTTTTTTTGGTTTTTTTGTGTTTTTTTGTTTGATTATTTTTTTCATTTTGTTTTTGGGTTTGTTGTTTTCCTTGAGAGAGAGAGAGAAAGAGAGAGGGGGGACAATTCTACCCTCATGATAGTGCTAATAAGACCAAGACAGTGGGTTTGATCCCCTTTTGGGCCTCACTTAAGAGCTGGGACTTGACAATCCCCGTGGGTCCCTTTCAACTCAGAATACTCTGTGATTCTGCAAACAAGCATCGACCAGCGGAGCAGCTGTGTCAGGGGGAGGCGAGAGAGCAAGCACCACAGGATTACCAAGGGGAAGGTTTCCAGGCCGAGCTAAGACAAAACCAGCAAGGTTTCACGCCGTTTGGTTGGGTTTTTTTTTTTTAAACCTCTCTAGGAAGAGAGGACGCCGCATCCCCGAGCGAACAGCGGGAAACAACGAGCTCTAAAGAGAAAAGTAACGTGGCAAAACTAAGAATTCACGCTTTTTCCCCCCTTTCTGTAGAGAGGACAGATGTACCAGGGGGACCGGTGTCTGGGGTGCCACTTCTGCTTCCCGGCCGGAGCCAGGAGGAGCGGGCGGCGAGAGGGGGATGGAAAAGCCACGGGCTCCGCTCCCGGCGGCACGGAGAGAGCGGGGTTACTGGCGGTCATTGCTCCCTCATCTACATATCCAGTTACGAATTCCCCGCTGCCTTTTTTTGTTCCGCACGAAAGAGTAAATCACCCGCCTCTGCTGAGGTTACTCCGGGGCGAAGAAAAGTTCCTCCCTCGCCCTCCTTCTCTGCCTCCCACTCGGGAGCGTGCCGGGGTGGGGGGGTTTGAGAGCGGCCGTGCAAACGCCCCGCTGAGCACCACCACCCCCCACCCTCCCCCCACCCAAAAAAAAAAAATCAAAATCAACCATACCCCCCACTCCCAGCCCGGGGAAAGGCTGGGAAAAGAGCCGGCTCCTGCAACAGCATAAAAAAGTCCTTTTCTTTCCAGCTTACAGCACCCTGCCTCGCCGTAACTGCAGGGAAAAAAAATCCACCCCTCCCCCTCCCCCCCCCCCACACACCCCGAGTCCTCGGTTAATTCCTAAATGCGCCGAACTCCCTAAACACTTCTGCAGCTTGTTTACTTTTTGGTGAGATCATCTACTGTTCAGAAACTCCGATGGACAAAGGGGTGTCTGGCTGATGTTTCCAAGCTTTTTCATTTCATCTGTCCCCATTTAAGATATTTTTCAAGCTTCTCTTAAAGGGTCAGACACCTTTTCTTTTCTTTTTTTTTTTTTTTTTTAAAAGCAATTATTTCCCCACTTTTCTGTTTCTGCAGTGTTGTGCTGCTTTGGGGTTCGCTGAGACTATTTTGTTTGTGGGTTTGGTTTGGAGGTTTTTTTGCCATGTGGAAGCAGGATTTTCTTGGTCGGGGGCATATTCTACAGGCAACTGCAGGAGAGCTACCTGAACTACACCGAGATTCCTGCTGGCCGGTTTGTAATCATGACGGGGAGTAACAAAGAGCCTGCCATCCTCCACAGCTATAATTAACCAGCCCAGCATTAACATAGCACTTATCCCCTGCCTTTTTTGTCGTGCCTAGCATTTTCAGACTTGCTCAACATTAGAATTTGCTGAAAATCGAAGCTGCCTTCCAAGGAACGCCTACAAACATCTGAAGGAGTTTTCATCATCATTTTGAGGAAAACACGAGGGAAACAGAACATGAAGTTACCAAAACTGCAGGACAATGCTTGGCTTCCAGCCAGCTGATCGTGAACCCGTGGTCACTACCCAAGACCGTGAGAGCTCTGCAAGACCAAGGGGCTAAAATCCCAACACCATGGTCCTGGATGCAGTGCCCTAAGCAAACACTTGGCCTTTTCTTACCGTGCATTTTCTCCCCCACCCCATGTGGTCCTACTTCCAGGACTTGTGGGTCAGCGTCTTATGCAATCCCTCTCAATCACAGAGGCACGCATAATGACTTGCACATGAAACCACAGAAAAGCACCCAACACTGCAATATCTAAAATTCCTTCCCAGGATACCTCAAAAAGCCAAGAGTTAATAAAGGCTTCCTCCTGAAAACTGCCATTCCCCTCTGAGGCAACTGCTTTACCCACTAGGACTTAAGGAAATACAAGAGAACTATTTAAAAGAACTCCTCCAAAATTTGAAACAGAAGAAACGGGCGAGTTTTTTGAAGGCTAATACCAAGCTTACCTAATAATACAAACACCTCGAGTGGAAGAACTCATTTTACCACCACGAGCCTACCACAGCAGAAAAAGTTTCTTGCCAGAAGAAGTTTAGACGCCCTATCAAGTTACTAAAACGTGAGGCAAAATGTGTCAGCTCAAACACATTTTAACTCACAGGTCTCCCCCAAGAGCATCACTACAGTCAGTCCTTGCAAGCTGGTGGGCACACAACAGTGCAGCTCCAGCAGCCAGGCAGCACGGAGAGCAGTCTCTCCACAGACTTCCTGACAAGGACATGCAGCCTTTCCTTCCCTCTTGCCTTCATCTTCAAGGGAAAACCAAAGGAAGTGTACTCCTGCAGGCTCCCCTCACCACCACCACCACAGGGTATGGCCTGTGGCTGTAACCACAGCTCCCAGCAGGCAAGCCAAGCCCCAGGCACAGGCGTGGAGATGAACCTCAGGTCAGATTGAGCAAACACACTCCAGGACAGTCAGATCTGATGTGAACGAACCATCCTGCTCATTCAGTGGTGGGATAAATGTCTGCAAAAGTAACACTGAGGCAGCTTTTCCCCATGGCAGACTACTCTTACATTTTCAGTCCTGACACCAAGGGAGCAACAGCAAAATGAAGAATAGTAAAGCAGAGACTTTGCTTAAAAATCATGCAAATAACCCCCAATGCCAGCAGGTCTGGCAGGGATGAAGTGCTTTTGTTCTAACTAGTTTGGGCACAGTATGGCAACACAACAGTAGCCTGTCCCCATTCACATGAAAAAAGCAGAAGGAAGCCCATATCCCATGCAGGGCAGGGAGAAAGACCCTTCACACAGTCACACAAGAAAGCTTCCAGCAGAACTGAGAGCTGTTAGACCTGGAGGTCTTGTGCCTTAACCACAAAACCTTCCTTCCTCCCTGAAGTCACCGGTCAGGATTAGACAGTCACACGTGGCAGCATTTCATGGATATTGTCTCCATGAGAGGCACAGCTGTCCTTCATTTCCACACAGTTCAAACGAACCTTGGGGGCTGCATTCCAGGCATCTAAACTAGAAACTCTTGGACTTTCGGACTGCAGAGCATCTCCTACAGGACTGTAACACTGTTTTAAATATTTTTAAGGTTTACATTTTTCCTGACAGTCTGATTTTTTTTCCAGCGCTTTCAATCCTGAGCACAGTGGTAGGCCAATCTGTTCTTGCTCAAGAATCAAAGCTTTGTGACAACAGAAAAAAAACCCCAACAAACAAAACCTACTCAAGGAGCTCAAGATAGTGATGAACTAGTGAAGAAAAACAACCTCCATGCCCGCTAAATTATTGATTACATGGAACATCGAAACAAAAGTGTGCATTATAGAAAAACAGCAAGTCAGTGCTATGTGAGGTCTCTGTCCCATGCAGACCAGAACTGAAGCACTAACTGTGCAGTGAAGAAAGTATCTGTGGTGCAAAAGCCAAAGGTTTTTAGTGTCCTTGTTCCAGAAACACATGCCCAGTTATTTCTGCAGGCTCAAAAGGTGGCTCAAAGAACAAGAGAAACCATAGCCAGAACCAAGTTTTAATTTGCTGATCTTACTGCAAGGATGACCATAACAGGTCCCACAGTAACCAGTTACATTTTCCAACAATACTGGGAAGATCCACAGACAGGCTGAACAAAAAAAGCTCTAGAAGCAGGTTGCAGAATAAGACCTTTCTCCTCAAACTTCTCTCCCATTCCTTCCTGCTTCACTTGACAGCACAGAGGGCCCATACCTTCCTCCTGAAACTCGATGGTGCAGTCTTTTATAATAAAACAATAGGGTGGAAAAACAAAACCCCACGGAAATTGTGGCTATGTTTTTCATATCCTGAACACTGCCTTCTAAAAATAAAAGGCATGCAAGTGGTATTTCAACATATC